ATTGAGCCATTCCTTTGGTTCTTAGTGACAGCAGAAGAAACACTAGACTTTCCGGAAGCATGATTATCAAAAGTTACGTTCGTGGCGGTGCTGGCCACGTGCGTGCGGTATTCGAGCAGTCTGAGGCTTCCTTTACGCAATGTTACACATGTTAGTGAAGTGCGCACGCAGGGCGAAAAGTAAAAATTCAGCAAGAATGCCCTAGGTATCTGTTCAACAATGAGATTTCTCGAGGCCGACATAGATTTTTCAACCTTTGTCCTACAGGACTGCAAGATGTGTGCACCGTATCATTGCGTCAAAGTGTTTCTGCAGGCACACGTAGCGAACGTCCTCTCTATTGTGTTATCGCGCCCCTGGAGCCTCTGTTTGACACTGCAACCACTGGGTGCCAAAAAGGGCCTGCTGATCTTCATGAATCAGCAAAACACAAGACAAGCCAATTTGAAGACGAACTCGTACTAGCACGGCGCGAAAAGCGCATTTTCACAATATCTTCCGATGCTTCAGCGGCATGCATCCTTGAACAAGCGGATTTTCTCTTCACAAACCCGCACAAAAGGCGCTGTATGCGCTGGAAGCTGATATATCTGCTGCGGCGTGTCAGTCAAAATTATTTCGTATATCCTGTGCATGAATGTGTATTAATGCACAGTTGTCTGTTTGCATTTTAAACGAAACTGCATTCTAAAGCAAATACTCATCACTTCATTCAAGAGTAATACGGCTGGCTCAAAGGGATGAGGGTTCAGCAGCAACAGAAGCACTCCACTAAAAAAGCCGCACAACACGGCGGTCGCGCACCTTGCCGAGTCTCGTGTCCATGCTGCCATTCCATACTGCATCTTCATCACTCCTTGGGCTTTACTAGAGCCTTTGTGCAATTCAAGCTTTTTCTAATATATTCCTAGATAATGTGATGAGCAAGTTATTTCCAACGAACAGTTTCCAGCCCTGGCTGTGTTATAGAGATACTAATTATCAGGCCATTCTTAGGCAGTTTCACATGACAAAGAATATAAATTTCCCGTTATTCTTAGAGAAGAGTGTAGTACCGCGCGGCGTTCAGCAGTTTTTACATTTAGTTCTCTCCATTGGCGTGTATGGTGAAGGGCGCAAGCTGAAATTGCGATGGATGCACAGGTATACACACCACGCCATTCGCGTTGTAGCTCAAGTGGCTAGCATGGTAGCGACAGTGTTTTTTCTCGCATTCGCTATCACTTATTTACGCATGCATTTAAAGCAGTGCCGCTGGGGTGGTTGGTGTTCTTCTGAGCTCCATGGCTCCACCCCTTGCATCCCACGCTTATTCACTTGCGTATCTAATGTTCCAGCCACGGCATCTGACGTGCACTGCCAGTTTATCTGCTGCTACGTATCGCCCTTATCGGCCTCTTTGAAAGTTCACGGTACCTTTCAACCCGCTACAGTATTATTCATTAGTCCCCCTTCCGGACTCGACATTTCCTCTGATTTGTTGCAAAACAGAGGTAAAGTTTTTCACGCTGGCTAATGTGAAATGCGTATCTCAGTTTAGGCAAATTAAACTGACTACAGAGGCAGTTTGCTTACGGGCGTATTCCTGCCAGCGTGTTTACAAGCCAAATATGCGGAAGCTCTACTGTATTTGGTTGTAGCGATTAGTGCTCAGCCTTGTGCGAAGCTCCATCAAACGTGGTTCCGAAAACGGGTAAATGGACACCCTTTAAACTTGCCTCGTTACTCTGCACAAGACTCCGGAGGGAGTAAACAGAGGCTGCCTGTGTACCTGGTTGTCTGCTGATGAGCGCCAGGACATTGTCCAATTACGTAAACTCTGTCTAATTCACATTTTGTCTATTCTTCACTTATATATCATGCTTGCAGGCATAGAGGTGTGCAGAAAAAGCTAGTACTGCTGATTCAGCAGTGTATTAAGAAAGACACCGTTTTGCTCTTCTCTAGTATTCAACAGTACATAAAAATTGGCTCTGAAGCGGAATCTAGGCCTCGGACACCTAAGGTAAATTTACCGGAGGACGAAGTGTTCGCCAATCTGTATAACCGCTGCTCCGCCAAGAAAATCTTGAAACGCAATTTTCCTGTTGTCTCTCTTACACGAAAAGAAAGCACTTCACACTGGCCGAGCACGCAGAAAGAGACACGTCAGTCCTCGTCTGGTCCTTGGGTACTCCCAACCCTACTTATCAATGACCACTAGAGTAGAGTGCGTCGTGTCTTAGTCCAGATCAAAAGATGAGAAGCCCCTTAGGTCTCACAAGAGCCAAGCTTTAGTAGAATATGCCACGCGGTCCCAGTCCACGGCGAATGTGAGCTTTGGCATGCTTTCTTATACCTGTAACCTATAGTAGCCGTATTGTTTTTAGCGTTTAGGGTTAAGATTCATGCAAGCTTCAAGAAGTTAGTTTGGGAACTTTGGAGCCCAATTCTAAATTAAATCATCCAGGCCTGAAGATTTTGTAATGGTAATGATGAGAGCCAAAATAACAAAATTAAGCTGTTTGTCGTCCCACTGAGGCTGCCATATATCTTCATTGCCGGGATGTCTGCTGCGTGTTAAGCGCAACCCACCACATCCAGTTACATGGGGGCGTCGGCCCAGTAGCAAGCAACATAATATTTGTCGAATCTGTGAAGACGAGGCTTCAGCACCAGCATTGTCTGTAGTTTGTCGCCATAGACTTATTATTTTACTAAGAAGCTCACTGAGAGCTGGGGTAAAGCCCTAGACGTGGTGCTGCTTTCTGCGCATTATTTTTGCTGCGTCATCATGCCATCACCTAGGAAGTGCTGAGACCTACCAGCCTCCACCACTTCTGTAGTGGTATATTTAATAGGGATATAGTGCATCACAAGAGATGCCCGCTTAGCGAAGTCAACGACTGGTCTTGCAGCGGGATCGCCATATATTATAGGCTGCTGAATAGTTTCAGATTGGATGAATCAAGCGGGATGGTAGAGCCGCTCGTACTAATGTAAAGCGTAGATTACACTGCTTTAAGGGAATTTCCTGTAAACCTCGCGTACTCTGAGACGTGCCATATCCCATGATTTACGACATTTAAAATCGTCGTGTGTGTCCAGCGCAATAGGCTCCATTTTACTTCCGCTTGAAGGCTACGAAGTCAAAGTCAATTCTTGTTTATTAAAATGCAGTGTGCTACTGAACTAATTCACGAAGAAGCCTTCATTGGAATTGCAGCATGATTTTCCGGTTGGATGTAGGTGTTTTCCACGGCAAGCGCAATGGGCTTTCCCGAGGCCTGCTCGTCTTGCAGTCATCGCGCAGGGTATCTTCTGTGATTAGCTACGATACAGGAGTGTGCGTTAAAGCGCGTCACTAAGTTGGCTCAGGAGTAGCTGCTGCATCATGTTTAAAACCCTCTATGCACCAAGAACCTGCGATGGGTGTCTGGCATCGTACCTACTTTTGCGCGCTTATTGACACTGTGTTGGCCCTCCCCATATCCAACTTGAATCGCTTCAATTCCGTATAAGGAAGCTTCCCCTACCTTAGTGGGGGATTTTTCCACCTTCGGAAAGCGTCACAATTGAAGGAAATACTAGCAAATCTATGGATAACTGAACGCGAAAAGTAAAGCACTAAATGCAGGCCAGCTCTGTGTAAACGTCACCATGAAGGAATGCGACAATGGCTGGGGGCGAAGTGCAGGCGCTTCACCAGTAACGATAGGGCTCCCCTAATTGTAGTACACTGCGTTCTCTACAGCGTCTACGATGCTGCACGAATACAACTCTGGCGCTGTATGAAATCTTCTCTTCTACAGAAGCATCGATCCCATAGCGCCGCGCCACAACCTTTTAGCCGCTTTTAAGTCATCAGTTAGCAATCCGATATAGGTCACCAGCAAGGCGTATTGTTGTAGTGCACAGCGCCTACTGCTGCGACTATGCTGCTACCTGCCCCTCGAGCAGTGCCTATGATCGACACCTAACGTTGGCCCATTTCGTTGAAACAGCAGCCTATATTTATCGAAATACAATAATTCTTAAGTTTCCAAAATCTGTTGTTGTTCGATTCGCCCCACTCGGGGTGCTCGCCTCCTAGGCCCTGTGGGGAGGAGGCCTGCGCTGGTGCCGGCGATATCGCCAGCCGCAGTCTCCACGCATTTTCAGGCACCTCTAGCGTATGCATATTAAGTGGCAGACAAATTGCCTTACTTTGATCCTAGTAGCAGGGTCCTGTCCTCCTCCAGTGTTGGGACCCCTTGTACGTCGCTAGCTAGCTATCGTCCATAGGTCACCAGCAAGCCCTATTGTAGTTCCTGTGCAATACAGTTGTAGTGCCTGTGCACTACAAATAATTGTGCTCGGCGTTTCAGCGCACAGCAGCATAGCAGCGCCACATCACGCTCCTGTGCTTTCTAATCCACATATTTAATAGCAGTTTGCGTTCTGTGTTTTAGATTAATTAGGTGCACCGAAACCGGTAAGATTGGCAAACTGGAATTGAATATCAACTACTTAACATTGTTTTGCCTTTTCAATATCTGTGCTCTTCCAAAGCTAACGCTTTGACTGCACGCGGTGCGCAGCGCTGCCTCTCCCCTCCTCATTGAAGGGTACCCGTGCTGCAGGCGATGGAATGTGACGGACCCATACCTCTACGCCTCGGAAGGACCAATGTTGTTTCCAGCCTGAAGACGTCTTCGTTGACAGCGGCTCCAAGCGCGAAGCAAAGCCGGGGAGCCTGTAAGGTGGTGAGCTGGCTCCCACGTGGCTTGATCTTCAGGGGTCCCGCGCCTTGGGCTGCATCTCCCGAGCCGCGTTGGTCCATAATATAGTCGACTTCGTATTCTTCTGTGAAATTGCCTGCTTCATCGTGGAGAGGAGGCCAGGCGGCGTCGGCTGCCGGGGGAACCAAAGCGGTGGGGAGGGGGCGGTAGGGAACTAGTTGGGAAACGTGGAAAACGTTTAGCAGCTAGTTATGGCATTCACATAGTTGAGAGGCAGAGCGAAACGGTAAGCAACAGTTCCTATGCGATCGATGACTTCGAAGGGTCCGCGGTAACGGGGCTCGAACTTAGGGCGGCTGTGGGGAAAAGCGGTAGGTGCGTGCTGCTGAGCCAGACCTTGTCTCCCACTGCATACTCCACTGCTCGACGCTTTGTGTCTTCGTAGTACTTCTGCTGCCATTTTGCCTTCTGGATGTGACTCTGCGCTCTATCGCAGAGCTGCTGGAAAAGCTTAGTCATCGGAGGAGTGAGCGTAGGAGCCAACGCGCCTACGATATCAAGGTCCGCAGCAGTCAACGGGTTCTCGCCAGTCATGACCTCGAAGGGAAACAGTTCAGTGCATGAATGACTTGTTGTGTTGTAGGCAAGCTCCAAGGCCGGAAGCAAACGCTCCCACTCGCGCTCGTCAGATTTGATATGGGTACGAAGCATCTGCTCCAGTGTGCGGTTAACCCGTTCAGTTTGGCCGTCGCTTTGGGGATGGTAGGACGAGGACATGCACCGCTTGATGTTAAAGCGGCGACAGAGTTGGTTCCAAAGATCCGACTGGAAACGGGGGTCGCGGTCCGATATGAGCACCTCTGGAAAACCGTGATAGCGGATAAGACGGTCTGCGAGAAGCTCCACGGTGTCTGCTGCTGTGAATGACTTCTTGAAGGAACGAAATGAGCCATCTTGCTGAGGGAGTCGACCATCACAGGAATCGAGTCGTGCCCTGTTGTTGTAAGGGGAAGATCTGTGATAAAGACGAGACTCACGTGCGCCCATCGACGATAAGGGATGAGCAACTGTTGAAGAAGGCCTGCAGGCTTCTCGTTAAGATACTTTGACGCTCGACAGTGAGTGCATACCTCAACATAAGCAGTAGTGTAGGCGCGCATTCCTGGCCAGTAGTAGTGCTTGCTGAGGGCCGCAAAGGTCTTCTTCTGGCCTCAATGGCCGGCTGTGACATGGTTGTGATGTGAATGCACAACGTGAGTAAGGAACTCAGGGAATTGTGGGACGCAGAAGCTCCAGAGTCCATGAACGCGGATGAGCAGGTAAGGCTCTACGTAGCGAAAGGTGAACTGGCGGTTACAAAACTCGATTTGCAGAGCTTCTCCGGGTTAGTTTGCTGCGGCTTCGTAGGGAACGAGAAAAACAGGACACTTCGATTAGGCTTGCGGCCATTGGCGCACACCAGGAGGGTCAGCCGGTGTCTTCGTTGTGAGTGTAGCATGTGCCGCCTCTGGGTTGGGTTCGGGCGCCCCAAGTGAAGGTGCTGACGGCATGCTCCGTCGTCTGGGTCGTCGCGAACGAATTCCGGCGAGCTCCCTGTAGTTGGCAGGCCGACCACGAGAGCGGGGAGCCGCGCTCGCCTGTCCTATTGCGAGCATCAGTGGTACCGATGGTGTGTCGTGCGAGCAGGTGTTAGGAAGACCGGGACGGCGAGACAAGGCATCGGCAACTTGATTGCGCGCTCCGTGAACATACGTGATGTGCAAATCCGGGAACTCCGCAAGAAAGTCTAGCCACCGGGCGGTGCTTCCGCGCAGAGGCTTCGATGCTTGGAGTCGTTGGAGATGGGTGAGAGCTTGATGATCAGTGTAAGCCGTTACCTTGGAGACACGGAGCAAGTGCGACCACTTGTTCAGTGCCATGACCAATGCCAAGAGTTCCTGATCGTAGATCGAGTACTTCTGTTGCGTCGGGTTCATGACTTGGCTGAGGAAGCCGATGGGTTTGCCGTCATGTTCCAAAACTGCTCCGATCGCATAACCAGCGGCATCTGTGTATAACTCGAAGGGTTTCGTGGTGTCAGGGACTTGTAATGTAGTGTAGTCGATTAAGCGCTGTTCGAGTTGCCGCACCGCTTGCGTGTGAAGCTCTATCAATTCGAAACTGGCGTCTTTACGCGGAAGATCAACCAGCGGCTGGGCAACGACTGCATAGTCCGGTCCCATGAACATGCGACAGTAATTGATGGCGCCGAGGAACTGGCGCACTTGCGTTTCGTTCTCCAGCACCTCTGGCCAATGATGGATGGCTGTGATTTTATCCTCTACAGATTTGTTCCCCGCAGCAGAAATGGTATAACCCAAATATATAATTGTTTGCCTTGCAAACTTGCATTTCCGGAATTTTGGGTAGAACTGGTATCTAAGAAATATGCTGAGGACTTGTCGCAGGAGAGAAACGTGCCCAGAAAGATCGGAACTATAGATAAGTACATCATCTAGGTACGCAATAACGCGCTGTCCCAATAAAGGTTGTAGCTAGGTATTGATATTGACCTGGAACGTAGCGGGAGCACCCTTAAGGCCGAAGGGCATCACTCAGTACTCGAATAGTCCGACAACGGACCGGGAAGCCGTCTTCCACCGGTCTTCCTTAGCCATACTTATTTGATGGAATCCTGCTTCAAGATCCAAGGTAGAAAAATACTTGGCGCCTCCCAGCATCTCCAGAATGGTTTGAATGGGAGCTAGTGGAGAATCAGGGGCTATCGTAAGGGCATTTAGAGCCTAGTAATTGACAACCGTACGCATCTTCCGCTCCCCGGAGCCACCATCAGGTTTGTCCACCATGATCGTAGGATAACAAATAGGCGGACAGGTCGGTCTGATCCAACCACTGTCGGATAATTTAGCTGTCTCCTGTTCGTGGAATGTGAGATGATCTGGGGTCATACGGTATATTGCAGATTTCGCTCGAAGTTTTCCAGGCACAAGTAGAATATGCTGATCATGAGGGCGCTTCGGGGGTAATCCCTTAGATAAGGTTTTGGGAAAAACCGCTCGATACTCGTGCAACACCTGGGCAGTCTCACATGCAATATCCTTCGCCTCTGGCGAAGTTATCCATTCGTCGAACAGAGTGTGCTTGAGTTTTGCCATAGGCCAGGGAGACTCCTCGTCACTCTCCGCTGCCGCCGAGGCGGTTGAGGCCAAAGGACTACGCCAGCCGGAGGACGTGGGTTGATTCCCAATTAACGCGCAACAAAGCGCGTCTTGTCACTCATCCGAGTGCCTTAGGGGCACTGCCGAACCGGCTTCGGGCAAAGCCAGTATGAGATGCAAACCGTGCAATGGAGCCCTGAGACCTTTTGTGTCAGCCGCCGCCTGACGAACGAGTGACGTTATCCGCGCCTTCGCCTTAGTCTTCGCGTGGGACTTATACCTCCTTGGAGGCGGGCGTAGGAATATAGCTGTCTCCTCGGCTAACATATCCACCACTTGTTTGGCCAATATCTCATATACTTGCTCTGCTGGGGTCCTTGGGTGGACAACGATGGGACTGTCACCTTGCAGCGTTGCTTCACCGGTCCGAACGACCGGTAACTCGCACCACTGCCCATTCACATAGGTTCGGAGTTTGTCAGACTGAAAATACCAGGCCACCTTGTGTTCCGTCAGCCAATCCAAACCTAAGTCATAGGGAACGGGTCCCACTAAAAAGTCACCGGAAAAACGTGCATATCCGCACCACACCGTCAATCGCGTCACAACCCGATCAATGCGTAATTGTGCACCTGTAGCTACGGTGAACCTATGTTCTTTTGGAAGTATCCGCACTTTGAGCTGCAGTTGTTCGACTGTTTTAGGACTAATGAAACTTCTCGAAGCCCCAGTGTCCAAGAGGGCCTCACAAACACTCCCTGCGAGCTCAACGCGATGTACCGCCGTCTCACCCACACAAAACAACGCTCCCCCTTGGTCGTAAGACTCTTTCGTGCAATTCTCCCTCTACCAGTGTGGCACAATCTCTGTCGCGTCTGACCTATAGCCGGATTCTGTTGCCTCTGCAGACTTCCTGCTGCTATCCGTCATCGCGTCCGGAGTCTCTTCACTCAGGATCGACGCTGACCCAGACTCCCGCCGCGTTTCCAAAAGCGGCTGAGTCCCTTCCGCGTGCCCATCGCTCGTATTAGTTTTTTCCGCAGTGCGCAGGAGTTGATTTCCCCACTCAGGGAAGACTGGAATGGCGTTAGGGCCTGTCGCTACCGCACACCTCATCGCTTTGCCATGGCTACGCGGCCTAGAACGCTCGTCTCCAACCACGTCTAGGCCCGCACGTTTACTCGTTCCGTCTTCTCAGTGCTAGGACGGGTGGGCGCCCTACTGCTCTTGTCCACCGGCTCGGGCCGACCTCGTTCATACGTAGGACGGTCCCGAGCATAGTGTCCCACACCGCCACACTTCTTGCATATTTCGTCCTGACGTTTGGTACGTTCCCCTTTGCTGGGGCAGACACGTGCCGGATGTCCGCGACCCTGAAACTTAAAGCAGTTTGTGTGGGTTCCCCCAGGGCGATTTTCAATTTCCTGGCGCCCACGGAGTCCACTAGCTTGGATAGCAGCCCTAATGGCTCGACTGGTCCTTTCTCGGAGTTCCAGCACACTCTGCTTGGGCTCGTAGAGCCGTGTTCCGGCTGTCGCCGCTTGTTCCCACGACTGATATTTCACCTGTCCCTTATTGGGTATTAGAAGATGGTGGTCTGTCGGTAGTCCGGTGAAGTAATAGTCGGCGAGTTCGTCGGGAACAAGACGCAAACCGCGCTCCGCTACAGCCACAAACCGGTCCGTGTATTTCTTCGGGTTACCATTCCACCGTACTTTAGCCAACTCCGTTAACAATTGACTCTGCGACATTGTTTTGTCAAACTGCTCCAAAAGCCTGCGCTGTTCTGTCGCCCAGTCGCTTAGGTCGATAGTTCTCCGTAGATACATCCAATACGTTAGAGCCCGGCCCACAAGGTGGTCTATAAGTGCATTTCCCCACTCGCGCGGTTCCAATCCCATCTGGGTGTACCGGCGCTCGATACGCAGCAGAAAGGCCTGCATAGTGCTGCCGTCTTCCGGTAGTATGGGAATCGTTGCGCCGAATTCCACGGTCCCCCCTATAACAGTTCTTATCACACTCATAGCCGACTGGAATTGCCCCCACGTGACGAAGGGACTGTCCCCTGGCATAACATTGGTCATAGGTATCAACTGCCGGGGAACCTCCTTATGCCCATGCGACCGCTCTGCCACGGTGGTCTTCGGAGTCGCGTGGCGATGATTTGCTGGCGTCCCGCTCGGCATTTTGTTGACTGACATTGTAGAAGTCTCCTGCGCTGTGGGGCAGATAACGCGTCCGTTGCGGAGATGCATCCCTTACCGAGCGAAGAATTCTAGGGATGAGTTATTAAAACGCAGTATTTCTACTCCCAAGTCCGGAGAGAACAAAGATTTCAATCCCGGTGCAGCCCCCAAATGTAGTGCACAGCGCCTACTGCTGCAACAATGCTGCTACCTGCCCCTCAAGCAGGGCCTATGATCGGCACCTAACGTTGGCCCATTTCCTTGAAACAGTAGCCTATATTTATCGAAATACGGTAATTCTTAAGTTTCCAAAATCTGTTGTTGTTCGATTCGCCCCACTCGGGGTGCTCGCCTCCTAGGCCCTGTGGGGAGGAGTCCTGCACTGGTGCCGGCGATATCGCCAGCCGCAGTCTCCACGCATTTTCAGGCACCTCTAGCGTATGCATATTAAGTCGCAGACAAATTGCCTTACTTTGATCCTAGTAGCAGGGTCCTGTCCTCCTCCAGTGTTGGGACCCCTTGTAGGTCGCTAGCTAGCTATCGTCTATAGGTCACCAGCAAGCCCTATTGTAGTGCCTGTGCAATACAGTTGTAGTGCCTGTGCACTGCACTAATTGTGCTCGGCGTTTCAGCGCTCAGCAAGCATAACAGCGCCACATCACGCTCCTGTGCTTTCTAATCCACATATTTAATAGCAGTTTGCGTTCTGTGCTTTAGATTAATTAGGTGCACCGAAACCGGTAAGATTGGGAAACTGAAATTGAATATCAACTACTTAACAGTGCCGATGAGCAGATGCGAAATCTCAAAGCGAAATTCACATTAGAAGTTGTGAGCGCTGAGCCCATGGGCTCGGCATGTTAAGATCATCGTCAAGCACGATTGCAGTGCCATTCGACAGGAGCGTGATCTGTGGGGCCAAGAACTTTTTGTCGGTTCCAGCCGTCTGCCGTCCGTTGAGGCCTTTCACTGGAAAGGTGTACCGAACCAAAACGATGCAGCGGTTAGCCTCGTAACATTTGGAAATATGCCTTAGTATACCTGCTGTGCGAAAGGAAGGCCTAAAATTGCTATTTGCTGCGCGCATTTGTAAGCACCGAGCACACAAGCTTTTGCATTCTTTCGGTAAGCCATGCCTGCTTCGCATTCAGGTTAGAGCTTGACTTTGTAAAATCTCTTGAACTCTCTGTACTCAAGAGAGACTTTTGCCTGATAATCTGCCACCACTTACTGGAAAGCCTAATGTTCTGGCTGAGCCCGAAAAACAACCAGCGGTGATCAACTGTGTTCACCTGAAGAGAGGTCAAATCCATCTTTGCGTGTCAACACTCTCCAGTACTCTATTCTGGTGATTGTGCCAATAACGCATTTTCAATCATGGTGACTTGGTGTGCTGACGCAGCTCCACAACAGCTCAGTGGATAGAACAGGAAGAGCAGCAGAGCCAGCGTCGGTGGGTGTGGCTGCTGGCCTCTGCACTCTCCCAGTCTCCTAAGCAGCGCTAATACCATATGCCCTTTTTGTTGTGGAGAAATTTCTGCCTACATAAGCCTGCGCCATGCCTTCCTCCAAAGGGGCAGTCGTCGGAAGCATCGAGGAATAGCGACACTTTTGGATCTCAGCTAGTGCTACTCTCATCTTCATGCATGGTGTGTCAGAAGTGTCTTAAAAATGGATTGTTGCTCTTCTCACTGATACAGTACACAGTAGTGGCATGATTGAATTATTTGAACAACGAGTGGAGCTGGCACACGAGTGCCACGCAGTAGAAACGACAACGACGGCGGGGTCAGAGATGGCGACGACGGCAGGGACGCTGAGCAGTGACTCTGGTACCGAAGTACACTATAGATATTTGCCGCTAGTGTTATTCATTTACTGCTTAGTTTCTGTGGCGGCAGTGCTGTCAGCAACATTGTCGCCGACATCTGCAAAACAGGCGATAACGCCAAGCCGGTTACAGCATCTCCCATCAACTGCTGTGCATAAATGGAATCCTCCTACTTTCTGTAAACACCGTCAAGAATGCAGAACTTTTCAGAGAAAAGGAGACGCAGGGTCACGTGAGCTGCCTTCTCTGGAGATTACCACGAGCACAAAACTTGCCGAGGCTTCGAGGAAGCGCACAGCTACCTTTACTTTGGACAAAATATCTATTTGCGGGCCTTTTCTATCACTCTCCTCGCAATTCGTAGAAAGCAGCAACTATATTCATTGAAAGGTCTTCTTGGAAATGCACCAGTGTGTCTCCCCAATGATTGTGCTAGTTTGGGGGGCAGCGCTTCTGATTCTTTCAGGAGCAGAATGCCTTGAAAACGGGGAAATGCTCAAGTGGCCAAAAGCAATCTCATACTACATTACTAGTTGTAGCAGTGTTGAAGTGAGAGAGATTAATGTCATCATGAATTTCCTTGCTTTTAAGTAGAAAAATGCTTATGAGAAGAAAAGCAGTAAAGTTAACAGTCCAGCAAAAAGAATATATCTAGTTAAATCCAATAAGATGGAAAACATAAAGCAGAATGCGAAACTTCGAAGATGCAATGTGAAATTCGCAGAAGCATGCCGGAAGAACCAAAAATGGTGGAGCTCAAGGAGGAAGCAACTTCTTGCAGATCAAATTTAAGGGTCCCGAAAAACCAGTATATTTACAGCTCCGGGGTATCCATTTTACATACAACTGAACTGGACATCAGAGGGTCCCCTACGCCAATCCAGTACGATATGCGCGACCAGTAGCGAACAGAAACGCAGACGCAGCGCTATATGCGCTGCTGCTCTGCCTTTTATCCGCTCGCAGGCAACGATAGTCTGCGAAGATAAATACGCACCAACTTTTTTGAGCCAATCACTGCTTATATTAAACTAGGGTTCGCCTTCCAGCTGCACCACGAGTAGGTGTCTAGTTGACTGTCAGGGAGCTCTTGTAGGCGCCAGCCTGCTCAAAAGTACAGAAGGAGCTAGCCGAGCCCATAAGCAGAGGTAGTAAATAATGCTAGTAGCCGTGGCTGTTTTTTCGCTAGAGTCATATGCGATGGTGCTAACGCTACTGCAACCATGCACTTCCACGTAGATTCCAGTAGATGCCAGAAAAATTCAGAAAGGAGCGTAGCGGCCAGCTTGTTTGAGAAGAAGATTCATTGGAACTCAAAAGGATTGTATGCCCTCTTGCATTCGAGTTAAGTGAACACAGCTTACAATCCAAAGCGAGGTATAGTGCAATACCCAGAATTTGAGAAGTACGGTCAGAAGCAAACGCAGAACGCGGTAATGTGGAAATCCCAGAAAGAAATTTGCCTACGCCGTGCCTGAATAGGCTTACAGTTGCAGAGTTAAAATCATGACTTTGACTGTTGGGGGTTGCACGTGAAATGACACGGTAATGCAGGTTTGTGAGAATTGATGCTCTGAACTCACTGCTGATGGTTTAGGCCACTACAGATATGTTTTACTTTCTACATAACTCCCCAGAAAACATGATGCTGTCATAATAACTTTGCTCCCACAAGGCGTTCTCCAGAGATGGCCACTGAGGTGCATGTAGAGAGAATTAATCAGCCGGCTTGCCAATCAGGTATGTCTAGAAACGTGTGGGTCCTCTCTCGTGAATTCTTCGTCGTGCAGTCGTACTTGCCACAAATTATAGAGCACTCTACAAACATCGTGGCTGAGTGAAAGGTATTCGACCACCAAACAGAGCTACCTACGAAGGCGGATATGCGCACTCAGAGAGGCGCTCCACCTAGGGCTGTTCAGAGTCCACAGTTATGTTGAATAACCGGCATTCATGCTAAACGCACCAGGACTTCTTTTTGGACACGAGAATGCGCCTTTACTACAAAGAGCACACTCATTCGTCAGAGGAGTTTTAAAAGCCAAAATGCAGCCAGCTACTTTCCGTGAGGCCATTGCAATGGATTGTCTTTCTGTCCACCAGTGCAGCCACTCGGGGCGTCCCATTGTTCTGCATTAATTCTCTAGTTGTGAGACGTCACTGTGTGCAGCGTTATCTGATGACGCTGATCAGCTTCTACGATATATTTAGGCAGCTCAGTAATCATATAGTGTCGAGACATTCCCATATGTACTGATACAAAGCACTGCAATTGTTTGGTGCGAGATGTGTGTTAGGTGCATTTGGTGTCTCACCCCTGAAGAAGTGTCTTTTTCCACAAATAATGACAGTTGCCTCATTTTATTCAGCAAAGATATTTGAATAGCTACATTTAACAGCTAGGAATGTATGTGAAGGTGCGTAACGCCTAGATGGCTGGGACAATGGACTGCGTGTCTTCGTAGCTGCTCGCGCTGCATCGGCTTCCGGGGAAGCAGTCAAACTGTAACACCCTTCTCCTGTACATTCAAAACAATACTACTTTTTTATTTGAAAAGGTGCACATGCCCTCCTCCTGAAAAAATTCTAACTCCAGGAAGTTATTCATGCAGGGCCATTCCCCTGCGCGGTCTAATGTCTCTGCCTTTACAGGAGACAGTAGCGTATGCATATTAAAAGGAAACTACATTGCCGCTTTTTAATACCGAAGGAGCAGCAAACTACGGTGTTTTCTTGTTCGTGGGCAGTACCACACGAGGAAAATGTCTTCAGTTAAGGTGGCTGTGCGGGTTCGTCCTTTCAACGACCGCGAGAAAAACATGAATGCGGTGCTCTGCATTTCTATGGAGGGAAAAAGCACCACAATAGAAAACAAAGACGACGCGAAAAACGCCACAAAGACTTTTGCTTTCGATTATTCATATTGGTCACACGATGGATTCGAGGTGGAGGACTCTGGTTACTGCAGGCCAGTAACCACCAAGTATGCAGATCAACAAAGGGTCTACGAAGATGTGGGTAAAGACGTACTCAACAATTCATTTGAAGGGTATAATGCGTGCCTATTTGCCTATGGTCAAACTGGATCAGGGAAGAGTTACTCTATGGTTGGGTACGGAGCTAATAAGGGTATTATCGTTCGAGCGTGCGAAGAAATATTTCAACGTATACAGCAGAAAGCAGACCCCAGTCTCAGAGCTGAGGTTCTTGTAAGCATGCTGGAAATTTATAATGAGCAAGTGCAAGACTTGCTTCAGCCGATGGACAAACGACCCAAGGGAGGACTGAAAATCAGGCACACTCCTCAGTTAGGCACATTTGTGCAAGATCTCAGCAAATGTCCAGTGGATTCATATGCAGCAATTCAGGCAAAATTAGATGAAGGTATTGCTTTTTGAAGCTTCCGTCGGTTTGATGATTGTAGCCTTTTACCTCAGGTAGTGACTGACTTAGTATCAAATTACAAGTGCTAAACATTTACTGACCAAGGAAAACGTAGTTATTCAATTTGCTGTGCGCCATATGCCTATGAAATGAAGAAAAACGTGCTCCTTTCTTGCGCATGCGAAGCTCAGAGTTCGTGTGGCGCTTCGTTCAGGCACGGCCAACCGTACAGTTGGTGCTACTTTGATGAATGCCACGTCATCTCGTGCCCACACGGTCCTGCAAATATTTTTCCGCCAAGTTACTGTAGATCGTATGGTACACAAGAACAGTACCCGTTTAACATTCAGCGCGAGCAATAGCCCTCTTTCTATTCGTGAATCATGGCGTACGCTGAGCACTGTGGATGCATCATGCTTGCGCTGGTGACCTCGTATGTTCAGCGGACTCGGGAGAGCCAGTTTCACAGAAGTGTTCAGAGATAAACCTCGTAGATTTAGCAGGTAGTGAAAGAGCTGGATCAACTGGTGCGACCGGAGACAGACTTAAAGAAGGATGCGCCATCAATCAAAGCCTCAGCGCCCTTGGCAACGTTATATCCGCTCTTGCAGATAAGGCTGCAGGAAAGCTGAAGCCAGGGCAGGTGATACATGGCAAATAATAGAAGCATCACGCGTCGCCGCGACAACTCAAAAGAAGCATCACATATATCCTATGCAGCTGTGCTTGTGTCTAAAGGACAGCTGGCAGGTCCCGACTTGAAAAAGCAAATTTTCGCAGAAAAGGGGTTCTGCGTTTGATTGTAGGTCGTGCCATACAGGGATTCGGCGCTGACGCGCATTTTGCAAACAGCTTTGGGCGGCAACAGTAAAACTTGCATGATTGCTGCTCTCTCTCCAGCGTCTGTCAATTACGAAGAGACCCTCAGCACTCTTCGCTACGCAGGTGAAAAGGCACGAAACTCAAGTGTATTCACACTGAAATAAATAGTAAGCGCTCATGCTTTGAAGAACTGTGGTTCTCCTCTCCTTGAGCTGGCATACTTTCTTGTCCTTTTATGAATTTATGTATCGGCTTTAAACGCCTCGATAAAATGCAGTGCAGTTGTAAGTCAAAGTCTTGCCATTCGCCTAGTAGAGTCCGTGTGTACGATACGGCATCGAAATCTGCTTAATCCCGATGCGAAGGTATAACATGAAGCACAAGCAGTCGAAACCGATTCTTCTCTTATGGTCACGATGGCCTTCTGCAGAGCGTGCAAACATCGAAAGAATTGGCAGCTCAATGCTTACTTGCAGATAGAGTGAAACAAATAAAAAATGAGGCCGTGGTGAACGAAAATCCGCTAGAAAAGTTGATTCGCGAGCTCAGAGAAGAAAATGAGCGACTCAAAAAGGTAATTTTTTCCCTGACCTTCGTTATGACGAGATAAAGACATCCTTTACGTGCAATGCTTATCACACTACCGTATATCAGTGGTAATTGCGCTTCGAATAGAACGCAAGCATACGTTGAGACAGCATGAGGCCAATTGACAATATGTGGCTTCTGCCGGTTCATGTTTTTAGGCAATGGGTGGCGCCTTGCCTGCGCCTACTGGAGGTTCAGAGCCAGACCCAGCTATGATAGACGCCATAAGGAAGCAGTATGAGGAAGAGATAGAGGCGAACAAAAGGGCTATGGAAGAAATGACGGTACGCCGTTTCTTCACAAATGCCGCCCTGAACCAGGCAGTTGTGTTTCAAAGTTTTCGTAGGTTTCTGATGTGGTATTTTATGGATACGCACTGCGGAAGCAGAAACACTCATTTCAGTGAAATACTGATCACGGCTCTCCAGGTCGTTTATTATTCAGATGTCGTGGCAGCAAAAAGTGGAGGAGGAGAAAAAAAGAGCAGCAGCTACTAGAAAGCCGGAGGAGCAGGCTGAGCTGACACTTCCTACATTACAAAATCTCAACGAAGATCCTTTCCTAACCGGGAAGATAATTTGCGTCATTAAGGAGGGCACGAGTACATTTGGCAAAGCTGATGGAGAGGAAGCGCCGACCTTCCGTATCGGTGGCTTGGGCGTGGTAGCAGGGCACGCTACAGTGACTTGTAAGAAAATACAGAACGACGCAGAGGATCCGGAAGACATAGTTTACAACGTAGTCCTGATGGCCACAGGGAAGACAATGGTAAATGGGGCTGAACTGCAAGAAGGAGAACAACGACAACTGCAACACAAGGATAGGATATTATTTGGGCACAACAATCTCTATGTATATGTTGACCCCCTGGATATGGATAAGACCATGCCATCGTGGGAAGATGCAATGAAGGAAGTGAAGAAGGATCAGATGGAAGCATATGGCCAGACACTTCGCACTGAAGAGGAAGTGGAGAGAGAGAAGAAATTCCGGGAAACACTAAAAGAGCTAGAAGTTGAAAAAAAAGCTCTAGAGCAGGAGAGGCAGGCGCTGCTCAAAAGACTGGAGCAGAAAGAGCAAGAGTTACTTGCAAGCGGCGAAACGCAAGAGGTAATACAAACCAAGCTTAAAGCCCTACAAGAGGAGAAACAAGAAATTGAGCGGCAGTTGCAAAACAAGCAGGACGAACTAAGCGCACGTGAACTTAGGCTTAAAAAGGAAAAAGCAGAAGAGGAGGCGAGGAAAGAGGAGGAGAGAGCCGCCCGAATTGAGCTAGACGAAATAATGACAAGAACATCATTACTAGTAGACGAGGCAAATATGATTGCACAAGAACTAGGCGTTGGGGCTTTCTTTTCTCCGAAACTGACAATGCGTGGAGACGCTGTAGGGAGGGGTGCGAGAGCAACCCTTGGTGGTACTGTAATGCAAAGGCTAGAAATTATGATTAGAGTTGACAGAATGGATTCAGATATTACTCAGCTCTGGCCATTAGATCTATTTGAAAGAAAAGTGTTTGAGATGCGAGAAATCTATGCTAATTGGTCTCCGGAACCAGGACAGCCACTGATTCTACCTGATAATATGGCAGATCCCTTCGCACCTGATCCGGAATCGCACCAGGTTCGATAGCACCTTTAACTTGCACTGCAGAACTAAACTTTTAGCGTAAAGACATTTTATCTAATGTAAGTGTTTAGCACTCTGTTGACGCAAAATGTCGCATTCTGTTTATATTTTATTATGTCTCTTTTCCACTGAAAGTCTGAGCATCATGCGATCGCGCTACTTGGGCTATTATTTCGTAGGTTGTGGGACAAGCGTACGTGTATCTTGAGACAATCAGGAGCCTGCTGCCAATTGAACAAGAGCCGTTCCCTATTTTCGATTCTAAGGGACAGAAGCAGGGAACTCTTGTGGTATCGATCGATATTCAAGTCGGACCACCAAGAGCTGACATCGAAGGGTAAACATTGCAGTATTAAAATGCATGCTACACTGTATTATGCGGACAACTGACATCTGATGGCATACTTAAAAGACGACTTTTGTTGACATTTCAAAGATTATTGTCTCCCAGCTCATGCAGTGCCAGTGTGTTCTACCATGGGATGCAACAGTTTCATGCTTAAATAACGAGTTTTGTTGTCCCAGCTCACGCAGTGCCAGTGTGTTCTATCATGGAATGCAGCAGTTTTACATTCATGGGATGAGCAAGGCTTATTATTTGTGTCTAGGGAGGACGAATTGGTAGCCAGGCGCTTAGAAGATATTGATGACTTCGATTCAGTTGAAGACGTTAGAGGGCGAGTGCTGACGATTACAATCACTGTGCACTCTGCAAACAATTTGCCCGAAAGGTCCTGCAGACATCCACAAGTGAGAAAGCTACATAATGTATTAGTACTGCAGATACCGTTCACTGTCATCGTGTTGTTTGGATGAAGTTGTGGTAGCGATGGCGCTCGCAGACTGCTGCTTGGGTGGCGACAAGCTGGCATTAAGCCAATGGTCGCAACCTGTTTTCGATTCCAGGTGCCAAGGGTTACTGAGTGCTCTTGACCCCATAACGCATGGCTGCTTTATACGTTGTATTCTCATACGGATGAAACGCAGGTGTTGTACCGCTGGCTCGACGGAATGACAGAAGTCTCTGCAGTTTCGCTTGAAGAGTCTAGTCGCGATGTCGTTTTCAATAGCTCCAGGGTGAGCGGGCTTTCTTTCCTGGGGATTCTCATAATTGTTCATTTGAGGAGAGACAACATGCACGGCCAATAAGACTCAAACAGAGTGTAACAGATTTAAACAGCGATACCACTGCATGCAGCGCAATTAAAATAATTTGAGTAATGCTTTTTGACAGGGCACAGCAGTATATATGCTCCAGCTTGACCACTGCAGTTGCCCATGTGATGCATAGAAGAAAGGGATATCAGCACATTTTACCCTTCCGCCAAATGCTGCTGGCCATTTGCTTGTTGTTCAGGAGTTTACTCTTGATGCTAATGAGGTTGTGGTTGAGTGGCTTTCTGGCGTCCTGGTATTTGAAGTCAGTGGCAAGTTTGTGGACAAAACAGGGAAAGGAAAGGGTGAAAAAGGATTAGGGGTGCAGAAGCTTGAGGAGGAATTGAAGGAGAAGAAAGTTCTGCTGGAAAAAATCGAAGCAGCACTTAAAATGCAGGGCAATTCGCTCCAAGAATTACTACAAAAGGCCGGAATCGACCCAAAAAGCATAAGTGCGGAAGGGCCTGCAACAGGTGAAGAGGAGAAAGGGAAAGAAAGGAAGACCACGGACCAACAAGAGGAAGAAAAAGAAAATACTGCCAAGGATAGTGTTCCTTCAGTGCCTTTTAAAGCTCAGCAAAGCGGTGATGCCGACCAAAAGGCCCCAGATATGCCTCTTGGGGAAATCACGCAGCAAGGAGCTTCTAGCCTGACTGATGGTGGAGCTGATATGCAAAATATAGAAGAGCAAAAGGCTTCTGGAGAAACCGCAGAAGATCAAGACTCAGCTACACATGAGGGCAAGACCTCAGGAGACGACACAGTTGATGCGAGGAGTCCAGAGGATGCCGGAGGAAGTGTAGCAGAGCTCACACGATCAGCACCCACAGATCCGATGGAGTCAACTGAAGAGAAATCGCCTGAAGCAGCGGAATCTCCAGAGCAGCGGCCACCGGCAGTACAGGCAGAAGAAATGACCGCCAGTGATGGAGACCAACAATCGGGGTAACGCAGGAAATGATGTGATGTTGGAACACCCGTGGTGGGACGACTTCAGATTCAAATTTGAGTTTTTTTTGTTGATACGAAGCTGCTTACAGCAGTCGACTGCTATGGTGAGCTGTACGGTGTTCATAGTGGCACTGAAATGCTTTATGCGTTGAAGTTCGCTAGTATGCAATCCTGACTGAACTCCGTCACGCCATGAGAGAACACCAGTTTGCTTCAGGGCTTGAAAAAGTCTTGTCTTTTCATTTGGCATTTTCTGCATACTTTCCATAGAGCATTATCCAACAGTGAGACTGCGGGATTCTGCTTAATTTCGCAGCCATTAAGGATCATTTACAGTTTTTAGAAATGCAGGTTTCACGCTCCACGTCATGTATTTTTCCTGCATTGGCCTCTTGACGTCCTAGGTGAAGATTTAGGCTCTGCCTGGAAGTTGTCAAGATTGCATGCTGTCTCTACACAAGAGTTTGGTTCCTGTCTTCGATGTTTTTTCCTAGAGAAATAGCATTACAAGGAGAAATTTGGCGCAGTTCGTATTCACCGGCTTAGTATATCATTAACTCAAAGTACTGCTGCTAGTAAAGGAAGATGCATCCGTTTCACGCAAACAATGGAATTAAGCACAAGCCACTGGAGTAAATTCCCCTAGTTGCTCCACCGGCACAAACTGCAGAAGATTCTGCGAGTATTCAGTCTTCACATTCACTTTGTGCCATGCATATGTAGCTAGTCCTCGCTTCATTACACGTGCAAGCTAGTATTGTGCCATTACTTAAGCATGGGATTGTCAACGAAGCACTCTAAAGGTCCGTACATATATTGTTGAATACCTATGCTAGAAAGGGAAAGAGGAGCTGCGGGGATCAGAAATGCGACAATGGTATGTGGGTGCTTGTTCGCATGCTCTTAAATAAATGCTGTTCACTCAATACAGCGGTATACTTCCATTGATATGAACTTCAATGCTGTCGATCACCAGGACGCTTCAGTGCCTACTTTCTTTGTCTGAAACTCCTCGAATTATCCTGGCAATGTTGAATCTCATACAAAGCTGCAGAGCCAGTTCTGCTGCAGGGATACCAGGCAGGAAACGCCCGCCTGTTTCTACTAGGGCACGCTGCAACATTTGGCAATAACTTATTGGCCGCCGGCAGTCTGTAAATGCCTAATAGATTTCATAAAAGTACATGCCTAATACATTTTATAAAATCCTAGTAGAGGATAGTTGGACTGTGGGTCCAAGCATGATTGAATTGAGAAGTTTCCCAAGTTTACGTGATTTACAGCTATGCGCCGAGTAGCAGCTGATGGCCAACAAAAAACTCATTTATAAAAGAGAAGAGAGAAGAAACCAAGGCAGGCTTTAAGTAGGAAGTGAATTGCAAGTTGAAGTCCCAACTTTATTCTTCAGCGAAGCACCAACTCACAAAAGTACAACGCTGGAGTTTAACGCGATTCCAGCAGAGGTCCTAGCTGTGGCTATTTCCCTCCTCCTCGGAGCTGCTACTCTCATTCTGAGCCATCGCAGGCGCCAAGAATTGCTGGAGCTCAAGTCGATCAACTCCCGTGAACTGCACGGATTGCCCTCTGCGTCTTGGTGGCTCCGGTGAATCTGGCTGATAAGCGTCAGCAGTAGATTGCCGTTGCAGCCGATGTGCCAAAGGAGCGATCAAAAGGCTTCTACGTGGAGGCGGAGGTACATAGCAAGACTGAGGCGCACGCATGCTTGAGCGCCTCGGAGCTGTAATCGCTGGTGGCTCTTGGCCCTGACCAGCCTGATCGGCGGCAAGGTGCGATTCTAGCGCAGCGCCTTCCGGAGATCTCGACACAGCGCTAGCCCGCAAAGCAGAGAGCCGGGAGGCTGCAGCAGCTGCGGCAAGTGCCATCTCTGCGTCTGGCTCAGTAGTAGCAGCTTCGCCGACATCATCATCCTCACCCGAGGAAGTTTCCTGTGTACTTTGTTTTATCAAGAAGGTAGATTCATTGTCTTGGAGAAGCTCTGCATTCAGCTCTTTTTTATACAGGTCTGACTGCCTGTCACTTTGCCCTGCTTGACCGCCTTCCAGTAAATCTGTTATGCACTCGCTGGCCTCACTGCGGTGCAGTAACGACCTCTGTCGTTGTCTCTGTTCCTCCTGGATAAGGCGTTCCTCTTCAGGCACCGACTGACGCTGCGAATGCAGATAATCTGCCTGTTCCACCAGTCTTTTGTCTTGGTTTCCCGAACGTTTTCCACAACAGACGCTCTTTAGAGCATTTTTCAACTTTGCTGCGAGCCCTCGAGAGACCTTGTGGTCTCGAGCAAACGTTCCTACACGAGTCAACGCAGTAGCCCTTTGGACGAAGGATCCGCCGTTTTTACTCAGGCGCTTCCGACGAAGAGTACTGCGCCGGCTTTCACCTTTGGATTGTTTGTGAGCACAAAGGGGCCCTGATTTTTCAAGAAGAAACAACAGGTGCTTCATATACATGAGCTGGCTGGACGCAGTGCTACTTTGCAGTAGCCTGCTTGTCCGCCAAAAAGCTTGAATCTTCAGTGCCGCCAAGTACTGTAGGATGTCAAACTCCGGTTTGATTGCAGAAGCGTCACTGAAATGACTTATCCACGAATAAACAAGCCTCGGATTCAGCTCTACCTTCTGCTGCCCCTGAGATGGGTCAGACGCTGCTGGGGTCTCTCTACGCTGAGCATGAGCTTCGCACGCAAGGCACGCTGTATTAAGCACCATATCTCTGATGTGCACACTGTTGTTGTGCACAGGAAGCGGATAAGCAGCTAAGTGAGCAAGAATTGCGTGCATCCGGCGGCATCCTAAGTCGGTATAAAGGTTCTTGAAACCTATTGGAGGCTGTATTTCGTTCAACACCTGTAGCGCCACATGAATCGGCAGCCAACTGAGCTTCATTTCGCGTAGGCGCCATTTATTCAGCAGATCTTGGTGCTCCTGCGCAACCTTCCACAGTTCCTGGTTTCGCTTTGCGTCGACGTAGCCCTTCAGTACAGCGCTTGTGAATACATTCATGAGCAGGAAGAAGACCAGGGCAACAAAACTAATAACGTAAGCCATAAGGACCCACGCCAGCAGTACCATATCAGTTTCATAGTAGTAGGTACGCCCTTGGAGCATAATATCATGCCAATTTTCTCCCGTGGAGCAGGAGAGAAGAAGCACGATTGTGTCCAAAAAGGATTCAAAGGAAAGGTGCAGTTTTGGGTCGTAAGGAACGTCGTGGAATAAACATGTCCCAATTAATGTGTACACGAGGACGGTAAATCCGAAAAAGAAAAGGGCGCGACGAAGTGATGCGAACATATTAAACAAGCTGATAGAAAGAACACGCATTCCTGGAAGATAATTGCATGCAACATAAGCAACTCGAATCATCCTGAAAGCGACGGGCCAAAGAGGCTCGGCAGGAAAGGCCGTATCCAGGGAAGTTGAAAGACCCCAAATCAAAGCTATTAAAGAGATGAGTGAATTGGCCAGGTCCACAATGAAGATTGGTTCTTCGAACAAAGACCTTCCTAGCACCACGAGCCTTATACACTGCTCCAGGACGTACCCAATAACAATGGCAGCATTGAACCAAAAAATCCAGAGCTGGAACTCAGGAAAGTGCCACCTGATATCCGCCTCAGCCCATGCTCCTGCTGCTAACATTGTCACACAGGATGCTGCGGAAACTACCGCTATTGCAACGTCGACCTTTTTGTTGGTAATGATCCGAGCCATCAAGCTTCCACTGCCGAGTCCTTTACTTCTTCCGGAACCGCCGTTCCGGCCTAAAATTCCTTCGATCGAGGCAGAGCTAAAAATAGCTCGTTGCATTTCGTTCCAACGAAGTACTGTTGCGCTTCTGACACCTCCGGTGTATTCCAGTGTCTCCTGTTCTTGATCTAGAACATCCACAAGGATGCCCACAAACAAATTCATGACAAAGATGCTGAGCAACGAAACTACAAGGGCGCAAAGAATAATGATCAGACATTGGTGACGCTCTCCAAGATCTAGAAATGAAATCAGTATGCGGGGCCAGTCCTCAGCAGTAGTTAGGATAAACACACTCAAGAAACTTTCGCCAAGGGAAGTGAGGTTAGCGGTGGCCAAAGGAATGGCTGGACGGTCACCCGCTACAGGTTGCAGCAAAAGCCGAAATCCTAGGGCAAAGAACGTGACAATCAAGATAAATATGAAGCCCAGGCTAAAAATTTTGTTTCCAGCCGAAAGCATTGCTAGCGCCAATCTGTGGATGCCTGTGTTCTTTAAGAGGCGGAGGAGCCAGAAACACCGAAGGACGCGAGCACACTGAGCAAATCTAAACCATACACACTGAACCATTACATCGTTTGTGGCGTTGCTGCTTAATACAAGGGAAGCAGTTAAAAAACACCAGGACATCAACTGAAGCACTGACTCGTAGCAATTAAAGCGAGAATAAAAGAACGGAGAGCTTTTTCCCACGATTCCAATGATAATTCTCATTAATATATCGACCGTGAGTGCAACTTGGACCCCGAGTTCGACGTAGACGAATGTTCGCCATACTGTTATGTCTTTCTTCATGCAGCAATCTGCTATGAGCTCCCCAAGCGACAAGAAGTGCAAAAATAGCCGAATCCAGCCAATCCCACTGATTCCACAGACGTCGCGAATATGTACCATGAAGGCACGCCAGACTGTATTCACGGTCCGAAGGCAAGAAGGAAGCTTCTGGCTGCTTTGCGGTTTCGCATGAGCTTCTACAAAACGTTTTTGAAACGTAAATCCTCCACTTGACCCTGGTTTCGCCCTTATTTCGGAGATTGTTCCAAATTCTGAGCCGTTCGATGCCTTGTTATCAAGCTGGCGTGATTGGCCAGACGGTTGTTGGTAGAGTACTTCACAGTCTGCCCTCACCATGTGGCCCGCATACGCTATGTGCAAGAATGGGCTATCTGGATCCACCGGAGTAATCCGTTCTATTACAGCAGCTGCACCTGCCCGTAGTGCAATGCGGCCT